ACTGAATTTTTAAAGACAAATATTCTGTTTATCTGGAAACAGTTTAAACAAACGATTTCCATGAGATCACAGGGGGGGGGAACTGTTTTTAAATTCAATATCTGTCTGTATTATAACAAGAATTTGATAACTAGATAGCAAAGTTCAGAGCTTACAGATACCAATGGAACTACTGTACTGCAGCAGACTGTGATCAAAAGATTTAATGATAAGCATGCGAGCCAATGGTGTTTTTCACCAATTTTATAACAATACACAGCCCACTTTAATTGGTACAGGTCTGTTTTCTTCAGTGGCTAGTTAATATTCAGTTTAGCATGTGATTCTAAACATATTTATTTACATCTGGAAGGAAGATCAAGAAAGAGTCCTACCAAAATTAGTGAATATGATTGCATGGATTTGATGATGTAGTGAGTAACAATGATCAGTGGATGTGCTCTATGCATGCATTTGACAGAGGATCTATCTCTGATAACAGATATTGATGTAAAGCATTTCAGAGGTGCATATGGTTCTGACTTTCTTTTTATGTATGATAACTCATATGTACATCAAACAAGCTTAGTTTATGAATTTCTGGAAGGCAAAGGCACTGAGTAAATAAACTGGCTAATTGAATCTCACAAGAAACTTATATGACATCCTTCAAAGGATATTTGCCGTGGCAGAAGTGTTGAATATTTTATTGGTGGAGAAATGGAACCAAATTTAATTAATTACTGTATGGAGAGCATGTAATCATGTGACATATGAATAGTATGACTTAGGCATAATTGTGTTCCTTATTAATAGAAAAGTTAAAATTTTGTTTCTAAAGTGCTCACTTATTATAAAACTACATTTTTGCTATATATTTTAACTGTGCTTGCTTCATAATATAGTTTTGTATCATATGCATTTATTTAGGTTCGTACATCATAATACTACATACCATCTCAAGAACTAAGAATTTTTTTTAAAAAAATCAGTATTTTTATGCATGTAAAATTAATTTTGAACACCAGTGTATTTCTTTCATGTTTGCACTAACTAATTTTAATTGCATGAAATTTATAACCTTTCTCTCCATTATTAAGGAAAATTATTTATCATATTTATTTCATGCATTTGATGTCATAATGTAATTTGAAGTTAATGAATTAAGATCAATTTCTAATTTTGTAGTGGCTAAAACTTGCATTTAGTAAAATTAAAGTTCAATCAAAATTGTAAAATAATGTAATTTTACTCATTTGTATTATTTTATAGTTTCAGTTCTGTGGACCTTAGAATAGTTTTACCATAAGTTACTTCCTACTTGGAGATTATATCAGTAACTGCCTCTCCCTCTTTCAGTGATAAATTAAATTTACATTTTACCAGTAGATATGGAACTAAATTTATATTTAATTTACATTCTGAAGGCTATGAAATTATATATGTATTCATGTGTCTTTTTGTACAATTTTTAAAGATTTTTGACTGAAATATACTGCCAGTATGCTGATTCAAATATGAGATTTTATATGTTCTCTTCAAACAAATTATTTTTATAATTTATTTTGGATTAACAGTTTGAAATACTTGGAATTGGGAACCAAAATTTTAACCAGTATTTGAAATTCAGTTTGATGTAATAGATTAATTTATCAGATCCAAAATATAAAAATATAATACAGTAGAATCTTTATCATTTTCTTGTGTGTATCGTTCACCATTTTAGTCATGAATGAAGTTTTGTATGAGTAACACTGTTTATTCTTTCACTGATCATTTCTTGAACCAATTTCTTTATAATATTTCCAGCACAACATTACTCACATGAATCATCTGAAAACACAAATTTGATATATATATTTATTACTTTCATTAATTTCTCAGTGGACAACAAATTTTAAAATAAAATTGGACAGTTATGCTTTGCATCTGGTTATTGGACCTCTGCATCCAGCATCATTTCTGAATGTTAATTTTAACTTGTAACATGCAAAATGATGAAAACATTTTAAATCTTGAAAGTTGTATTCTTAAAACATGGCAAAATTCATCCAAAAAGCAAAGATCAGTATATGATATTTAATAAAAAAACAAAAAACCTTAATTTAGAGTGCTCTTGTTGAAAGTAATAGATGTTGTTTATTTTACATTGTATAACAGAGAATTAATGTATTGTTTATTTTTGGAGAATAATAAAATATTTTACTGTATGCAAAGGAAAAGAAGCAAACAAGTGGAAAACTGATGTTTGTGTGAATGCAATGTGCACATAATAGCTTTATGAATTAAGCTTTTATGAAATGAAACTTCTACAGAAAACAAAATTCAGTTAATAAATAGTTTAATTTTCAACAAATAAAAACAAACAAGTTCAGGATTAAAAAATTATTACATTTCCATTAAGTATGTAAGAACACAACTATAGAATATCTGTAAATAAAACCTACCTATAAATAGAGAATGAGCAAATTCATGTTACTTTTTTTTTTTTTTTTTTTTTAATTTTACTTTAAAAAAATGGTTGAAAAATAGTTTTTTTGCTGTGCTACTCATTAGAATTAATTATAATGGATAGATTCTTAGATAAGATATTTGCTGATTAAATTATTGCATGGCTGTAATGCAACAGGATCATGCAATAGTTTTATTGATTCTTTCATTACTCTTATTTATTAATACCTAAGACTGAAACACTGAGTAATGAAATGATATGGAATTTATAGAATAAAATGTAAAAATAAAGGTTTTTAAAGAAGTAGTTGGAAGTAGAATGATTATGAAACACAATAAAATATATTTGATTATTGAAGAAATAATTCTAATATGCATGACCGCCCAGTTGCTATAGTGGTCAGGGAAGCTGACTGCGATGCCGAAGGGCCTGGGTTCGAATCCCGGAGAAGGCATGGTTGTAACTGTCCGTCCCTTCATAGAAAAGGCGATGGTGGCCCACGTATTAGGTGCCTCCATAATAAAGAGACCACCACATCCAGACTTGTATAGATTAAAGTTACATTTGTAATTGTTCACAATCTTCCATTGGGGGGGGGGAAGAAAATTCTAATATGCACTTCATATGAATTTATATTAAATATTAATTTACAAGCAAATACAAATTTTAATAAATAAAATAAGTCTGTCAGAATTTATTAAAAAGCAATCTCGCATATTTTGCATAAATTATATTAAGGATTTGTATTTAAATATACACAGAAAACTGCTTGTGTTAACTACAAAGGTATTTTAATTCATTTGTGCATTGATTGAACCCATCTCATTCAACATCAAATAATGATAGAAGGAAAGGAAACGTCTAAATATATTACTGATGATTTTCATCTAATGAATATCCAATTTTAATTGCTGAAAATATTTTTCTTTTGAGCAGAAAATTCTACAACTTGACTTTATGAATTAAAATAAATAGCCAAACAAATAAAACTCTGAAGCTCTTTTGGTTTGCTTAGGTTCTCTTCCTGGTGATTGAACAGGCTGAGCATGAGGATTTAGCATTTGCGGTAAGAATAAAGGCTAGTTTTCCTTAAAAACTTCTCCATGCCATTTTGCCATAACCAAATAGTTGAATGAATTATTAAAACCAACAAAATAAATCTTGAAATTCTTATTAACAAATGTACTAATTTAATAGACTAGAAATACATGCTTCAAATTTTTATGCGAGATTCTTAAACCATATAATGAAATCTGAAAATTTATTAGATTACTATTAAAATGAAATTCATATTTTGTCAAATTCATTTTAATAGTAACAATCTTATTAATCAAACTTTGTGAAATAATCAGCAATGATGTAGCACAGCCTTCTTGCTAAATAAAAATTTTTGCAACATTAAAATCCCAATATTCTACTTCAATTTTTAATATACCACAAAATCCAAATGTGCTTTCTTCAGTATCGGTGATTATACCAAAAACAAAACAAACATTTATATCACATAAGTGCTATTCTGTACAATAAAAAAATTCTATACAGAAAACATATACATTTTTATACAACACAATTTTATGAACACAGATAAAACTTATTTTTCCAGTTATTTGGCTTTTCATATTTTGTACAAATTAACTATGCCCTAAATCTTGGCACACTAAAATTTAACTGATATTAATTCATATTTATTGACATTCTATAAATTTATAATAATTAGATATAATAAAAAATATTAAATTTATTATAAATATATTTTAATGAGTTCCACATATTAAAATTTAGACATGGATATTTTATTTTCAAAACTTATTGCAGATTTTAAATTAACTATCGGACAAACGGTGAGGAAACGAAACATCATACAGAAGGGGAAAGGAAATAAAATTTGAAAAATGGATTTTTGCAATTTAAAATACTTTCTGACGTCAACACATATCACAAAAAAGACAGAAACAAAAACTTTTAAGGATTAAACAATCTTCATAAGAATTTTGAAGTTTCATCTCCAAAAAAATATGGATTTGTGTTTTTGCCTTTTGAAACAAGTGATTCATATATTTTTTGTGAAAGAAGACTGAATCGTTTAACTTCCTGCAGGATCACATCAAATATTTAAAAAGTATTTTAATGCAAATTAATTTTACATGATTATTCAATTTAAGCAAACATTTCTTATATAAGTAGAATGAAACTGCAAATACTTTTTTAACCAAGGTAAAAACAAGATTTATTTAAGCTTACAACTTTGATTCATTTTTTAACACTTGCTTTTATTTCTTTTTGCAGGAATGTGGGAAAATAATAAAAAAAAATTAGATTAGTTTATTAATATTCAAAGTTACTTGATTTACTAACCAGTAATATAAAATTATTTTATTTAGAAAATTTATTTTCGTAAAGACAAATTTTTAAATGAGAATTCAATAAGATAAAAAAAAAAAAAATTATTCAGAATTGTAAAAAATTTTATTCAGAAAATTTATTTTCGTAAAGACAGTTTTTTTAAATGAGAATTCAATAAGATGAGATGAAAAACATAATTAAAATAAAAAAGAAAGATTTCTTATTTATAGATAATAAATAAATAAAATTCAATATTAAACCCTTTTTTTAAATTAATTTCACTCTGTAGATACAAAACTGTAAAATTATATATTTTTTAAAGCTGCAGTTATAAAATACAAATAACATTACAACACTTTCCTATTTTAACATGATTCTCATTCCATAGGCAATATCACATTCAGTTTTGATTCTATAAGAAAACATTGTAAAAAATTTAGCATTTGTTACTTTCCATACACTCTTAATGAAAATCAAAATACTAATAATACACATATTGTTATTTCAGCCCTTTTTTCTGTAATTAATCATAAATAATGATATATAAGAAATAATTGGTGAAATATAAAATGATGTGCATTCATGAATTTTTGAAAATTTGAAGCATTGGCAATGATACGTATTATTCAGTTAGCAAACAGTTATTAAAATGATATTTTTCCTTTTCAGAGTATGGCACAAGGTAAAATAAATTTTAAGATGATGTCAAACAGGATCTATTTTCATTAGAAGACTATGGAGAATAATGGAACCATCTTCCTTTGTATACCATTCTAAGTCATTATTGCTGAAATGTATATCAATGGGATCTCGAGCACCTAATTGTTGTGGACCAACTGTATAAGAACCAGGTCGCACATAAACTTGAAAAGCAGCTTTAACATGATAAAGCTTCTTAGTTTTTGAATCTATAAACCTGCAAAGATTACATAAAATATTTAATTAATTTCTTATTTGTTTATAGTAAATGACAGCAGGAGTAAAGACTACTGATATTAAATTTCAGTTTCAAATAATATCTGAATGCATTTGAAAACAAAACAAAAAAAAAAAAAAAAAAAAAAATACATACATTCTATTCTCATTTTATATTCGAATAATGATGAAGTCAATTATTTCATAGGTACTTTCTATGCAATGCATAATCTGAATAAGCTATGTATTCCCTAAATGCACTTCTCATACATAATTATAAATGGATATCTAAGAAATATATAAAAAGTAAATGACTAAACATTTTATTTGCTCTTTCAATTAAAAAAAATTCTGAAATAAAGCATTTCTATTTTTTAACACTAAACTATTCATTTCATTATTCACTGTGCATTAACTATTCATTTTATTATTGATTTCAAAAAATAGTTTATGTTAAACAATGTACATAGTTAGTATTTTATAAAGTATTAATCTTAATTTTCAACCAATATTGTAATATTACTTGTGCATGTCTGTTTATTTACATTTACAGTAATAAAACTGTAAGACATTACAATAAATACTTACTCGTCTGCAGGCGAAAATTTTGAGGATCCAGCATAACGCATTGTAGGTGATATTAAAACATGGCTGCCATTTGTATCCTTAGACTTTTCACCTTTGTCTGCAACTTTTCGACGAACTTTAAAACCTAACTTTTCTAAGTCAAACAAGAACATCAAATATAAATAAATAATAAAATCACAGAAAAAGATCAAGTCTTTAAGTCTGAATTTATAAACCAAAACTAATAAATTCAATTAATGTGATAAATATATTCTCCTCACCTAATAAAAAAGCATACTTGGCAATAACTGTTAGTTACACGTAAATTAATAAAAATAATAGTAATAAAAATAGTACTATCAAATCCAACTTATTTCAATTTCTTTTAGATGAATAATTTATTGTATACAATGTCTTTAAAAAGGAGATAAGTTTTATTTCCAATGTATTAATTCTAGAAGAAAAAAATCTCAACATTGTCTGCTGGAAGGTTTTGTAAAAATAAAATCTGCTAGTAATATGGTTCCTTAGAATAACAATTTTATTTAAGAACTATTCATTATGCTCTAATTAAAATAAATTCATATATTTATAGCCAAAATTCACGAAGACCATATGTACACATTAACTTAAATTTGGGACTTTTTAAAATTAATTCATAGAGCAGCTACAAAATGAAAAGTGATGAATAGTTTTGTAGTAGATGATATATTACAGCATCTACAATTAAATTTGTAGGTAGCCCTTTATTTCAAGTGAAACTTTATTGAGCATATTCTTTAAATCTTGACTTTAAGGGTCTGAAATATTTTCCTTTTTAATTAATTTGCTAACTTGAAAATTACTAATTTCAATTTTCTTTCTAAAGAGACTAATTAAATTGTTAGGAATGTTTTTACAAAATTTTGAACTTTATTTTAAGAAACTTAAATTGAAATACATCACTAAGATTAATATATTAGAAAATAAGCCCATGTGGTGATTTTTTTCAAATGTATTGTATATCAACTAATTATTAAATTAATTTATGAAACAGAAATCATAAACAAGTTGAATAACAAGAATAGTTTGAAAAACTGAGATTGCATTGCTTGCTTTTGTTCCATCAACTTTTTTTTTTTTACATGTACATGAAGTCCAGAAATATTAGAAAGAGCAGATATTCTGAGGGTCCAACCCCTAAAAAATTATAATATTAATGTATATATTAATTTACCATCTTTATATATAGCCATACATACCTGGAGGTAAAAGTTTCCCATGCTCCAGAATGCGTCGCACAGATCCAAATCCAGTGCCATGGAAAGCTACATGCCATTTATCATTAAAGCCTCCTTTTTCTGCCTTAACAGCTGTTCTGTATATTGAAATATTTTTTTTTTTATTAAATATATATATATTTATGTATAAAACTCTCCCCATGTACTTAATGGGTGTATTTAAATGCATCATGAAACCCATTGCATGGCAATAACTGTTAGTTATATGTAAATTAATAATAAAAATAATACAAAAAAGGAAAAACAAAATCAATGTGTTCCTTCAAAAAAATTTGATAATATTCTAAGGATTATATAATCAGGTCTGCTAAAAAATTTAAAAATACGTAACAAAGCAGTAACATGCTAGACAGCAGTTTCAAAAGAATTCAAATTACAGTCTAATTTTCTGAAACTAGTTATAAGAAGACTAAGCACTATTTCTTAAAAAACCTATACTAAGCATAATACTAATGTATTAGAAAAGTGAATATTAAAACATGTGTTTTGTGCAGTAACTTATTTTGCTTAAACAATGAACTCTAAGAGTAAGCTTCATGAATATAAAGTAGTATTTTTTAAACATCTTGATGCATTCATACTTTATTATTATTATTATTATTATTATTTATTATTATTTGAGAAAGAAACAATTAATTTATCTTTTTAAGTACTTACTGGAAATGCAACTTTGAACTATGTCTACACACACTAATTAACCCATTAGAAAAAAATAAAGCAGAATTTAAAATAAATAGATTATCTTTCATTAGACATTTGACTTATTAGTATGTTAATTTTTTTCACTTCTTAAATGCTACAAGTGCATTAAAGTACTCTGCACTGCTGAGTACACATTGCTGCATATACAAAATACATGTTTTTGTTTGAATTTGAGCCAACTAATATAATTAATGAACTTATGCATTTAAAGAATATTAACGCATTAAGGGGATATCGCTTGTGGTTATCTATAAGGCATCATGTAAAATCATCCATGAAAATTAACTTTATATTATCTAAAGCAGGGGTTCTCAAACTTTTAAAATTTTGTACCACATAAATATGAAAAAAAATATGTATGTTCCACCATAAAAGCATTTTGCCATTAAAAATCAATGCATCCTAAATGGAGTGTATATAATCAAAGAATAAAATCCTTTAAATTTATATTATTTAATTATGTTTGTAAATGAAACTTTAACATTACAATAAAATATAAATACATATGCTACGAGTATATATATAACAATTGTGGTAAATAGTGAGTAATAACATATATGTTAAGCAAATAGTATAGTCGCACAAAAAAAAGCAAAGAAGACACCTGAGTCACATGGCCAGCATTGGAAAGGGGTAAAGTGCAGAATCGCCCACTTATTTGTTTGGAGCGTTTTACAAGAGTAAGAGGAATTGGATTTTTGTCAATTTTCTTTGACTTTTTAAGTGAAAATAAGTCGATGTGTACATGGATAAAGTCAAAGGAGTGCACAATGCCATTTTTGTGCAATTCTGGGATTTTTTTTTAAGTGAAAATAGGTCGATGTGTACATGGATACAGAGTTTGCGCAATTCTTAAAAACACGTCAAGCAGTGGATGATTCTGCACTTTGAAAGATACATTAAAATATATATATATATATAATGTAAGAAAAATAAAGAATATGTAAAAGATTAAATTAGCAGAGAAAATTAATTCTCTTCTGTATTCTAAAAATAGTAACCTCTATTTGCACTGCGTCATTTCGAGAAAAATCTATGTCATATGACTCTTACATAATTCTGATGATGTAAATGAAACTAAAACTCAAACAGCCAATAGTAATTTTACAGCAATAGTAACCATTCAATCAAAATTCATTGAGAACCAAAACTAACTCAGTCTGAATTAAGATTTCATTTTGAACATAACACTTGCTTTCTTGCTTTTTTACAGCAAATCTATCAAAAATGTAAGCTTTTTGGAATAGGCGCAGTAAATGTGCCAATTTGTTTGCAGCCACAACATTTTTACTGAAATAAAAGTTAAATATAACTTGACTGCCAAATTTCTTATTCCTTGTGGATCAGCGTCTCAGCATTCTACAGCATCAAAATTCTAGCTGTTCATTGCGAATACAACCACCTGCGTTCTACTACAAAAACTATTACAGCAAAGTCGACATGGATTGGATCTGTGCCATGTCCATCACTTTTTTGTACATACCTAATGAAATGAATTCTGGTGGAAGTTTGTGCCATCCTGTTTTTAATTTGTGCGCTCATAATCTTTCGCTCGAGTTCTGCCGGTGTCTACGAAGAGGAAAAAAAAAAAAGTCATACTGTGTGATCATCAATGATTTAAGTGCTTTGCAAGTGGTCAGTGATCAGCTCAATAGAAGTATATTTCAGTCAAATAATAAAATGATTAAATATTCTAGTCATCAGTCTGTGTATATGAAAAGTGTTTTGAAGTGCCATATGCGAGATACTTCCGTTTTGCATCGAAAATTTACAGAGGTCATCAAGTGTCATGTACTTTGCGTCTGTTGAACTGTGGAAAATCCTTTTAACCCATTTTTGATTCCTATATGGCCTTATGTTTATGTTTATCCAAATGACTTTCTGTCAATGAATGTGTGTTTGAATTACCATTATTTCAGTGAAACAAACCTAATGCTGATTCAGAAGTCAAACAACAAAAATCAGCTTTATATTTTCAAGTTTTCACAGGACTAGTTTCGCTGGTTTTACCGAACCACCATCCTCAGCTGCAAAAGCACAAATGAATGAGATATGATATAATGATTAAATAAGATAAGAAAGCCTGGACAGAAAATAAGCTAGTTAGGCCATCTGTTGATGAAACCAGAACTAAAATATAATTTCTTTAAAGGCCGAAGGCAAAGATGGATTGGAATTAGGATTGTTAACTAGAACAGAAAGATTTTTTTGAATGTGAAATGCCTCTAGAAAAATCCAGTTCTCCAATGGAAGATTGTTCTAACAGTTTGATCTAAAGTGAACATATATCCAAATTTATTATACGTTATCTAAAGCAGAGGTGGGCATTTAGTTGATCGCGATCCACTGATGGATCGGCAAGACATTTTGGGTGTGGGGCGATTGCCTTTATAAGCCACATATACTTAAAATATATATATATATATATATGGAATACCAACGAGATTCCCATTAGGTAGGAGGATTGTGTTTTCACAATCGAAGCAACTAGGTTTACTTGAGCAAATGTTTTGATAAATGTGTAGACAACATACATATCTTCATAGGAAGTGTACGATGATGCTTAAGTACATACATTGATTGCACGTTCATCAGTTCATTAAATATGTACAGCAGTCACTCATTGTTGTTCAAATATTTAGTGTTGCAATCATGAAATGAAGATTAACAGACAATTATAATATAAACAAATTGTAGTATATTAATGCATTCTATTTTGCAGTATTTTTGTAATAAATATATAAATATTCAGTTTGACAATTTTGTGTTATTTGCGGTTTGTAGTAAAAATAATAATTTGTCATATTTTAAAACAGGGCACAATGTCGAAAACAAATGTGAAGAAAAGACTCTCTTTTTTATTCTTTTTTTACAGTAAATGTATTATATATGTCATGCAAGTGAATGCACTTAAAAAAAGGGGGTAAAGGAATATTGAAAGATATTTCAAAAGCATACATGGAAGTTCTGACGGTGTTCAGTGAAAAGGTGAATTGTGAAACAGAAGTTAAAGTAATATAAACTGCAATTAACTGGACAAAAATCATATTTTATTACTATATCTAAGGCTACAACTGTTGAAATGTTTCATTTGAGTCAAGCATTAGCAAAACATAAGAAATCTTTTCTAGAGGTGGAAAGAGACATTCAACTTTCATGTAGGACTGTCACGCATCATGCAGAAATTATTAATTCTAATTTGGTTGAACAGCTGAATGAAGCATTTGCATTCAAACTGCATTTGTTTTTCCTTGCAGTTTGATGAAACTATGAGCATGTTGATACTTCTCAGCTTCGCATTTTTCTAAGAATGTTTTTTAAAGATATGAGTGTGAAAGATAAATGACTGCCCAGTGGAGATGTGGCTAGTGCACCACGAAGCTGCACCACAGGTCCGGGGTTCGATTCCTGGCCTGGGCAAGGTTGATTCACAAGGGGACATTCCCTACTCATCATCACCAATTTCGCTCAAATTTATAAGTCATGCAGGGTTTTGTTAAAAATGAAAGTACCCGAAGTGGGAACTCCAGATGGCCAAGCATTTAGAAAATAAAAATGTTGATGCGGCTCCCTCCACTGTATAAGCCATTTACGTTAGCATGTTTGCCAAGCAGTGATTGGTGTATCGGTAAGAGCTCAGACTAGTAATTCAATGACCATGGATTCGACTCCCCGTGTGGTGACTTTTTCTATCTTTTTCTCAATTTTTATATTATTCATTTTCCAATTAAGAAAAGAGATGAATAATTTATTTTATTTATTTATTTATACGCAAAAGGCATATAGGACATCATTTTTTAATGAGTGCATAGTCATAGAAAATTTGGAGTTGCAAAAATTTAAAGTGTGCTAGATGCAGAAATAATTATTGTTTCCCTGTTCCTATGAAATCCGACACACGTAAATCATCAAATGTCAATGAAAAAAGTTTTTTCGTATGCGCTTTAATCACAATCCCTTGTTGAAAAGTCAGAAATCCCAATTTTTTACCTTTTCTATGCCTTTTGCGTATAAATAAATAAATAAAATAAATTATGCATCTCTTTGCTTAGTTGGAAAAAGAATAATATAAAAATTGAGAAAAAGAAAAAAAGTCTCCACACGGGGTGTCGAACCCACGATCATCGAATTACTAGCCCGAGCTCTTACTGATACACCAATCGCTGCTTGGCAAACATGCTAATGTAAATGGCTTCTACGATGCGAGAGCAGCATCAACATTTTTATTTTCTAAATGCTTGGCCATCTCGAGTTTCCATTTCGGGTACTTTCATTTCTAGCCAAGCCCTGCATGTACTATAAATTTGAGAAAATCGGTGATGACAAGTAGGGAATGCTCCCTTGTCAGCCTTTCATCCCTTGAATGGGTCGATAAAATGAGTACCAAGTTCTCTTGGGGACTAAACACCAGGGTGGTCCTGCAATAAGCTGACCACTTGCATATGCTGATGCACTCCGTGGCCTAAGGTCAAGAAAACAGAATAAAGGGCACTGCAGGCCATGGACCACTAGGGATATTGCACCACTGAGTTCAGTTTTTTTTCCCTTTCTTTTTAAGTAAAAGATGAATTATTAACAAGACCTCCGAGGAAGAAACTGCCATGTTATGGGAATTTTCATGAAAATTGAGATCTCCGTAGAAGGAGAGGTTTTCAGGGAAGAATGTTTAGGCTCAACTTGAAGAAAGCAAATCCGAGTATGGGAAATTGCTATATTATGCAGATGTTTGTTGGTTGAGGTATATTTTTACAAAGATACAGGGACCTACTGCAAAAAGTAAAAAGAATGTTTAGAATGAAAAAAAAAAATGAAGCATTAGTTGAACTTAGTGAGGATGTTTGGTTTGTGGTTTTAGCTTTATTGCTGATATAACAAACCAGCTTAATGAATTGAATTTAAAATTGCAAGGGAATAAAAATCAAACAATAACTGAATTGATTTGATTCGTTACTACTTTTAAAAACAAGCTAATATCTTCCCAGCTGATGAAGAACAAACTTAAAAATTTCAAAAATATTTCTGACGAGTAGTTTAAAATGGAAATGTAAAAAAATAGAAAAAGACAAGAGAAATAATAAATAAATATAATAATAATAATAATAATAATAGTAATAATAAAACAGAATTCACAAAGAGAAATATTATGGGGAACGTTTGAAGTGGTCTATTAACTATAACTTCAAGAACTAACTTTAGATGAACATGATCCATTTATTTTTATAATTTACCATTTACTTTTATAATTTTTAATGTGTTTTGAATTTTTTGATAGAAAATACATCATTTGTAACTATTATATGTGTGGCTATTGTTATTACTATTGTACCTTTCTACTCTCACATTTTAGACGTGGTTTCCTTACCAAGCACCTTTAAAAAAGGAGAAACATAGGTAAGCTTTTTCCTTTCTTAGTTATGTATTCATTCTGTATTTATTATGAAGATGTAACACATATCTCATGGACCTCAGCACTTTGAGAAAAGTAGAAGTACTCCATGCTCCGAAAAAGTCTACGCACTCCTGATCTGAAAGGTTGAATATTACAACATCAGTAGCAAAACATTAAATATATGTCACTCTATATTTAATATTTTTTCTAGTATTCAGGTATGGTGCAAACATATAAATTCCAATATAATTTTAAAATCTGTTATCCTAAATACCGTCTATTTCCGAAAATAAGACACTGTCTTACTTTCTTTTTTGGTCCAAAATACGCGCTAGGGCTTATTTTCGGGGGAGGGCAAAAATAAAAGTTTATTTATATATTTTTATTTAATATTTATTTTACACAGAATACAGAAATTTAAATTTATTCAATTACAGTCATGTCATCTTCTTCTGGAACATCGTCATAAATAAAATTCTGAATTATATTTCTGATTTTCTTCCAAATCCATTTCCTGTTGAATCATTGGTCTGAATCTCTCATGTGTTGCGATATAGCTATCATTAAATGAATACTTCTTGTCTAAGTAGCCTGTTCGTAGTGCATTGGAAACATCACTATCAGTTATTTTGTCTAACGGATGATGGTGCCTTTCCTGTGAACGTATCTCTCTCGGAGCAAACGGTGAACTGGTTAAGATAAATTCCAAGAATTAATTTGAAACGAACTGTAGATGTAAATAATTAATTTTTCGCCATTGCTCGCTTTGAAATCGTATAGTTTATTAATCAAAATTCATTGAAGTTTTACAAAATATGGAACAGATAATGAAACAAATTTTTAATTTGGACTTTCGGATGCCCATAGTGAAGCACTAAGTAATTCAAAATTTGATGTATCTAAGCGTTGTTTTTTCACAGTGCGAGAAACATACATACATTCATGCAAAATCTTCATTATTTAATTTCTTTAAATATAATGCAGGACTCTAATATTTGGCGGCAACAATTTGAAATGGGAAATGTTGGTTATAGTAAACCAATGCTAAATGCCAAAACTAAATTAACAGCCCTTCTGGGAAAATTGCCCCTTTGGACTAAAAAAATTTAAGCTTATTTATCACTTTTCATTCACGCTGAAAACACTCACAAAAGTTTTAACTCTAGGTGTGACGTTTAAATCATTTAATTATTTTTCTAGGCGTTACTATTATTATTATTTTGATTAGCTTTTTCAACATATTCAGCATCTCTTACATGCAGGTTTTCTTTTTTTTAAACAGGAAGGTAAAATATTTTTATACACACGGCCATCAGACAATTGCAGAACTTTTGTAAATTAAATTTTCCCATGTTGCAGCTGGTATTACTGTCAAAACAATTTTTCTCCTCATAATGCTTTCTTTTTTTTTTTGGGAGGGGGGAGATAAATTCAATAGGTTATTATAATTTTTTGAGGAAAAATGTCATTTTTTTCACTCATTTCTAGTTTCTGTGTCCTCCATCACTAACCTAATCTTAACACATTTTAATATACAAGTGGTTACTACTAACAGTAGCTGGAACTAGAAAATATTAAAAATTTATGTTTTAATTAGCTAACTAAATCATTATACTTACTTAATGTAATTTAATACATCACATTAAATTTCATTTATTATTCAAATACACTATAATAATTACAAGGTTGAGCACTGTTATAGTAAAGCTATGATATAATTATGAGACATAATGTGAAAACAAAAAGCAAATTTTCCGAAAAGTATAATGTAATAGACTTGCCTGAGGGGAAATCGACACCAACCAAATGGTTCTGCATATTCCCTAGGAGGATCTCCTTTCCTAAAGTATGGCTCATCTCCTCTTAGTTTGTGACAAGTCTCACAGAAACAAACAATACTGTCTAATAAGAAATATGCATCTACAGAATAAAAGAACATAATTTTAAAAATGCATAAAAAGTTGATTTTTGAACATTTATATACCATTACAAGAAAAACCATAAATTCTTTTATATCACACTCTACATGATGATTCTAGTCAACTACTATAGATAAATCTGATAAAAAATGATTTTATCTGATTATTCTTTGTTTCCTCCTGAAGAAATTGGCTAAGAGATGAACAAGTGGCTACCTTATTTTTTAAAGAAAAGTTTTTGTACAATGCAAAACTGTGTTAATAACCTTCTCATAATAACCTTTATAATAACCTTCTCATAATAACCTCTCATAATAACCTGATGATCGTTAATAACCTTCTCATAAAATTAAATTGAGAGGAGAGAACATAAGAAGAGAAAAATATTAGATATATAAGAAGAGAAAAATTTTTATATATTTTTTTATATAAGAAGAGAAAAATTCCCAAGCATTGTTAATTTAGAAATTGATACAAAAGGTGAAATAATGCTTAATAAATTAAAAAAGATTTCTTGATGTAAAAGCTGAATCTAAAAAATATCATCTCCACTGCTAGTCACGGTGCTCAGGCAATGATAGGATGACATTGAGAATTTCTGGCATACTTTTAAAAACAAGCTATCTTGAATGTAATATCTGCACAATGTGTTATTCATCAACAACATTTAGTAACCAAAATTTTTAGCAAGCACTTACATAGCTCAATACAGCAGTGAATAAAATCAGCATTATTTGATCAAGGTCGAAATCCCTGGAAATTAAAGACGACCGACTGATTTGCCAAATTTAGGGAAATCAATTTGAAGCCACATGGTGTAAATAAAATTTAATCAATATTAAAAGTATAATAACTGCATTTATTGCTAAATTTTTTCTATGACAAAAAAAAAAAAAAAATTTTTTTTTGGAGAGAGGAGAATACTTTCACTTGCCAAAGCTTTCAAAATTGTAAAAATGAGATTAAGATTTATTTGCTAATTGTCAACACTTAACCACTTTTCATTCATTCTTCTTTGCCAAAGCTTTGCATTTTTTACTTGGTTACTTCAGACTGGATGCGGGACCCTTCTGCAAGTAAATCTACAAACTCGGATGAATCCATACTAACACAGGAGCAATTACTTAAATTATTGACAAATGAGGAGCTGATATTAATATCTGAACAGATATATTGCGAATTATGGTTACAAAAACAGGTACCAATTTTTTACCTGGCATTATGGTCACTGTAAAGAAGCTGTTAATTACTCTCCCATAACTTCCTATTCAGAAGAATGTGGATTTAGTGCAATTATGAGACTCATAAAAAAATCAGTTGAAAGTTAATTCTCATGGAGTTTTACCAATGTTGTTCATAAGCACAGAGCCAAATACAAATAATTCCTTATCACCCCAATCTCGTGCACCCATCTCATTGGGGGAATAAAAATATGTTTTTGTATTTTAAAACAAAAGTTATAATTTCAGTACATACAACTTTGAATACCAAAATGTTTCATTTATATTCTACGTTTACGTCACATTTACCATTCCAGTCATCAAAGCTAAATTTATTTTTTTCTAGTATGCAGTTATGTAGCATTATTTCACTTAGGATTCATAGTCAGGTTTTTTTCTATCAGAAGAGGTCTTGTTACAGTTTATGTAGCTGGCCATGAAAGGGCGCAGCTTTTTTTTACTTTTAGCTTGTTACATTTTTCGTACCACATTGCAGATTTTGATATAGATGTAGTCGCAGCCAGAAAAACAATGATGAACATTCTTCTATAAGCATACAATTGTTGTAAATAGCTGTAAATAAAATTTCTGTGTGAAAACCAAAATGAAAAAGAATTCCAAGCATTTCTGTGGATATTCATCAAGAAAGGTCAGCAAAAAATTACTTGTCAAATGTTGTTAAATGTAAAAAATAAGAATAAGAAAAAAGATCATAAACTGCAACATGGTGCTGAAATTCCGAGATAACAGTGATCTTTAGATATATTATGATTTAAGTATTTATTATTGTTGGATTAGTGATTGAATATTGATTATTAAGATGGATAAGTTAAAAGTACTAGAAAAGAAGCGAGGAATGCTAAGAGCATCAGTAACATGACTGATAGCTAAAATGGGAAAGGAAATAGAATCAAGATAATATTAAATTTGATTTATTAGAAGATGACTTATCCATCTTAAATGAAAATGAAAACAATATACTAATAATGAACACTGAAATCGAAGCTATCATAACAGATAAAAAACAGTACAAAACTGAAATACAGGATAGCTTGGAATATAAAAATAAAATTACCTTGTGCAAATCAAAAATCAGTAGAATATTTAGAAATAAAAAATGTGTTAAATTAAATGAGATCTGATCTAATTCTTCTACTATAGATATGGTGGAGAACACAAATACAAATGGCACTAAACTTCCGAAACTAACCATAAATAAATTTAAACTATGTGAATTTCAAAGTTTTTGGGCTCAATACAAATCTGCTATACATAATAACTCTGATATAAGTTAGAAATTGAAATTAGAAGCCTTGATTCTCTTAATGTTACTTCAAATTCTTACAGCTATTTGTTATGCCCACTATCAATGAGAATACTTCCTAGTGAATTAGTTTTACAGTTTAATCGATCGTTAATCCCTAAAACAGAAACCGATCGTTAATCCCTAAAACAGAAACCACGGTGACTAACATTTTGGAATTTCTGAAGAAGGAAGTTGAAAGCAGAGAGCGTACATTTTTCCAAACATCGCCAACTTATGAGTTTAACATCAGAACCAAACAACATAAACATCAATCGCGAGACCTTATTAAAAGTGAAAAATATCATACTGCCTTCAAAAACAAACATTTTGTTTCAGCAGTTGCGTCGTTGAATACGAATACATCAACAGCCGATTGTATATTTTGTGGGAAGATAGAAAATGAATCTTTGAAACATTCTACTTCAAATTGCGCAATTCCAATTGAGGAGAAAAGAAAGAAATTAAGAATGGCTGCTATTTATGTTTTTGTAAGGTTCATATGTCAACCCATTGCAGCTCGGATATACGCTGTGATTTATGTTCGTTAAGGCATAATACTATTTTACATGATAATAAATTTGAAAATAAACGGGAAAATAAAGGTGAGCTTAAAACAGACACACTGGTGACGTCAATTTCAGAAAGAGATAACAAAAATAGGGTTTATTTACAAACTGCAAATGCAATAGCTTTAGGTCAGAATAGAAGAAAAAATATAAGACTCATTTTCGATTCTGCCTCTCATAAATCTTTCATCCTAACAGAAATATCAAAAAAATTAAAATTCAGTGTTGTGGGGAAAGAAGAGCTTCAGATTACACCTTTGGCTCTATTGAACCGACAGTTAAAAGGCTAAAAAAAGGTTAAGGTTATTCTGGAAGATGTATGTGGACCTGGGAAAATAATAATTGAAGCTCTTGAAATTCCAGAAATTAACCAAGCTGTTATTGGTATGCCAGGAAAGGAAATACTTAATTATTGTAAGGAAAATTCGATAAGACTTGCTGATGCTACAGATATAGGTGTCCATAACTCTCAAATATCAGTATTAATTGGTAATGATTTTTACTGGAAAATAGTCACTGGGAAAGTTAAAAGATTATCAAAGGGTCTTGTTGCTTCTGAAACCTTATTTGGTTACACTATAAGGGGGACTGAAGCATTAAGTAATGTTCCTACACTTCATTCCGGAATTATGGTAATGTATGTTATTGAGAATATTTCACATACACATGATTTGGAAATCATGTGTATGTGAAAATGTGCAGCTCTAAAAAGGCTATGGGATTTAGATGCAATTGGAATACTTGACTATAAAACAAATGAAAACGACACTGAAGTTATGTGGAGATTTGAAGAAACTCTTAAAAATAGATGATAATTAATCATGAAGATTAAATTAGATGGAAAAATTCAACCTTAACAACATTTACTTCATCTGCACTTCCAAGCTACACACGTGCACCTCGCGCGCGTTCGACGACTGACCTCCCTGAGAATCTTGAAGAGAAGTTTGTACTCTGTAATCATGTGCTGCCATCTCTCGGCTGTTCTGGGGTTAAATTGGTAGGATGTTTTTTTAAAGCCTTTTTCAGATAGAATAAACCACAACAAGAGTATCCCCCCAGTGAACAAGCGAAGTGAAAGAACGACAGTATTTACACATAACATAGCATAAACAAAAGGGAATTGGGATGCTGGGTTGTGTCAGTTGCTGAAATCACTTACATACATGAAATTAAATAAAAGTAGAAAACAAAATAAAGTAATACAGGTTAAATCTAATTGACATGAATAAATGAAAATAAAGGTTTTTCAGTTCTGAAATTTGTAGAGAATAATTGTGATATGATGAACATTGAAAATCGAGTAACTCAAGAGTAATTATGATCAAGTTAACCAATTTCTGTGATGAGTCTCTTGCTAAATTTCACAATTCATCCAGATTTTGTGGTTTTGGAATTGTTGACAGAGTTTCCAGTAGTATTTCCTGGGACTTTAGGTTCATGCTCGTGAGGAATTTGTTGTATTTCATCATTATATATGAATGCAGGTTTCACTCTGTCTAGGGAAACATTGCTTTGCCTGACATTTATGGATATATTTTTATAACTTTGTCGCTTCGACTTATGACTTTGTGGGGACCTGTATATGGTTGAGTGAGCGGTGGTGTTATTTTGTCCACACGAAGGAAAACATGTGTACACTTTTGCAATTCTGGGTGCACAAAGATTCTTGTTTGGTGATTTTGGTTGGGAAATGGCTTTAACTGCTGCATTTGTGCCTGGAGTTTCTGCACATACTCATAAGATGGAGTTGTATTTTGGGCACTTTGGGAAAATAAATCTGCTGGAAGTCTTAGTGAAGTTCCATACACAAGATCAGCACTTGATGCTTGTATGTCTGTTTTAACAGCAGCTCGAATGCCAAGGAGAACTGTTGGTAATGATTCAGTCCATCTTGGGTTTTCATGGG